TTTCAGTAGCTCAGGACTCACTCGCCCACACTGCGAGACCAGTGCCAGCCAAGTGCTCACTAGAATGCACGCGCAGCTCCACCTTTACCTCCCGTCAGGGAGGGAGAGCCTGGGATCCACGGGCGCACCTGGCCTGGGCTGGGCAGCTGGGAGCTGCCTCGGCGGGCCCCGGGGGAGACCGGGACGAGGTCCTTTCCAGCACAGCCCGTCAGCCCTCCCCCAGCCATCGGCACCAGGATCTCCCCTCCACACTGATCCCCACCAGGAGAGGTGCTCGAGCCGGGAGCCAGGGGCGGCGCAGAGCACGCCCTGGCATGCAGCCACCGCGGGGTGAGCCCGGAGGGGCAGGACCGCCAAGGCAGCGTGGGCACGGATCACCGCAGACGCCCGGCGGGCCGGCCGAGAGAGGGGACTGGGCGCCGGCGCCTGGTTCTGATGTGTCCCGAGGGCTCATTCCTGATGACAGTCGACCGCACTCCGTGGGTCATGGAGTCGGTCGCACGCCCTAAGGGCCTGCATCCACATCCACGCACAAGGAGCGGCCCAGTGTCGGTCTGCTAGCAGGGGTGAGATGTCCTGCCCACAAAATCAGTTCAGTGGCTCAGGCCCGTAATCCTGGCTAGGCAAGAGGGTACGATCTGAAAATCAAGGTTCGGTCCGGCCTAGGCAGAAAAGTCCCAGTTAACCACCCAAAGGCCGAAGTGGAAGTGTGGCTCAAGTGGTAGAGCGCCAGCCTTGAGCTGAGGGACCAAGCCGGCTCCGAGTTTAAACTCCAGGACCAGAAAAAAGCAAGCAGCCAGGGAGCAGGTGCAGTGCCAAAAGCAAACAGAAAGTTTCCTCAAGGGTCAGTAAACAGTTCACACCCAGACCTGTCAACACCATGAGCTGGCCGCACGCACACTGGAGCCGGGGAGGGCTGGGACCAAACCCAGCAGGGCCTGCCCGGCTCCCTCTCCAGCCTCCCTGACGGAGCCTCCAGGGGCCGCTGGGTGCTGGGCCTTCTCCCCTTCTCCCCACTCGGGGAGACCCAGGGCATTGGGGGGGGGGCAGTAATGTAGGCTCCGGTGCTCCCCGCAGGCCCCGTGTGCTCAGGCCCCGTGTGCTCCCCGCAGGCCCCGGTGCTCCCCGCAGGCCCCGTGTGCTCCCCGCAGGCCCCGGTGCTCCCCGCAGGCCCTGTGTGCTCCCCAGTGCTCCCCGCAAGCCCCGATGCTCCCCGCAGGCCCCGGTGCTCCCCGCAGGCCCCGTGTGCTCAGGCCCCGTGTGCTCCCCGCAGGCCCCGTGTGCTCCCCGCAGGCCCCGGTGCTCCCCGCAGGCCCCGGTGCTCCCCGCAGGCCCCGTGTGCTCAGGCCCCGTGTGCTCCCCGCAGGCCTCGGTGCTCCCCGCAGGCCCTGTGTGCTCCCCAGTGCTCCCCGCAGGCCCCGGTGCTCCCCGCAGGCCCCGTGTGCTCAGGCCCCGTGTGCTCCCCGCAGGCCTCGGTGCTCCCCGCAGGCCCTGTGTGCTCCCCAGTGCTCCCCGCAGGCCCCGGTGCTCCCCGCAGGCCCCGTGTGCTCCCCGCAGGCCCCGGTGCTCCCCGCAGGCCCCGGTGCTCCCCACAGGCCCCGGTGCTCCCCGCAGGCCCTGTGTGCTCCCCGCAGGCCTCGGTGCTCCCCGCAGGCCCCGTGTGCTCCCCACAGATCCCGGTGCTCCCCGCAGGCCCCGTGTGCTCCCCGCAGGCCCCGGTGCTCCCCGCAGGCCCCGGTGCTCCCCGCAGGCCCTGTGTGCTCCCCGCAGGCCCTGTGTGCTCCCCAGTGCTCCCCGCAGGCCCCGGTGCTCCCCGCAGGCCCCGTGTGCTCCCCGCAGGCCCCGTGTGCTCCCCGCAGGCCCCGTGTGCTCCCCAGTGCTCCCCGCAGGCCCCGTGTGCTCCCCGCAGGCCCCGTGTGCTCCCCGCAGGCCCCGTGTGCTCCCCGCAGGCCCTGTGTGCTCAGGCCCCGTGTGCTCCCCGCAGGCCCCGTGTGCTCCCCGCAGGCCCCGGTGCTCCCCGCAGGCCCCGTGTGCTCCCCGCAGGCCCCGTGTGCTCCCCGCAGGCCCCGGTGCTCCCCGCAGGCCCCGTGTGCTCAGGCCCCGTGTGCTCCCCGCAGGCCCCGTGTGCTCCCCGCAGGCCCCGGTGCTCCCCGCAGGCCCCGGTGCTCCCCGCAGGCCCCGTGTGCTCAGGCCCCGTGTGCTCCCCGCAGGCCTCGGTGCTCCCCGCAGGCCCTGTGTGCTCCCCAGTGCTCCCCGCAGGCCCCGGTGCTCCCCGCAGGCCCTGTGTGCTCCCCGCAGGCCCCGGTGCTCCCCACAGATCTCGGTGCTCCCCGCAGGCCCCGTGTGCTCCCCGCAGGCCCCGGTGCTCCCCGCAGGCCCCGGTGCTCCCCGCAGGCCCTGTGTGCTCCCCGGTGCTCCCCGCAGGCCCCGGTGCTCCCCGCAGGCCCTGTGTGCTCCCCGCAGGCCCTCCCCCAGGACGAGCTCACCCCACTTCCCTGCCTGCACTGCCCAGTGCCTTCCCACAAACTCTGGACTGGAAAGAACTGTCTCTCAACAGTTTCCATCTTCTTTGTGACTGGTTGGTTTTTATTTTTATTTTTATTTTTTTTGCTTATGTGGTGCTGAGGAATTGAACCCAGGGCCTCAGGCATGCAAGGCAAGCACTCTACCACTAAGCCACCTTCTCAGCCCCGTGACTGGTCGGTTTTAAAGGAAATTCAGCAGTCTTATTCCGGCCGGCGCTCGCATGGTGGCCGGTGCCTGGTGGACACGGCCGCAGCCGAGCTCCGCCAGCCCCCACAGCCCCGGCCGCCCCCACGGCCGCCCCACGGCCCCGGCTGCCCCCACGGCCGCCCCACGGCCCCGGCCGCCCCCACGGCCCCAGCCACCCCCACGGCTGCCTCACGCCTGGCCTCCTGCCCAGCAGCCCCCACGGCCGCCCCACGCCCGGCCTCCTGCCTGGCCGCCCCCACGGCCCCGGCCGCCCCCACGGCCGCCCCACGCCCAGCCTCCTGCCCGGCCGCCCCCACGGCCGCCCAACGCCCGGCCTCCTGCCCGGCCGCCCCCACGGCCGCCCCACGCCCGGCCTCCTGCCCGGCCGCCCCCACAGCCCCGGCCGCCCCCACGGCCGCCCCACGCCCAGCCTCCTGCCCGGCCGCCCCCACGGCCGCCCAACGCCCGGCCTCCTGCCCGGCCGCCACTCACACAGACTCCCACTGGGGACAGAAATCAAGACACGGCACAACAGGGGCTTCCTTCAATATTTTATTTATATAGAAATACTTAAAAACAAAGTAGCACCGTTCCTTACGCTTTACCTTTATTATGTAGAACTTTAAATGTCAGAAAAATAAAACTCTTGATACAATTTCAATCTTGTCTCAGCAAATATAATATTAGTATTTGACCATGAGGTTAGGGGCCTTTATCATAAAATAAAATATACTTTTTCTTAAACTTTGCTTCGTAAAGTACATTTAAGCTCAAGTAACATCACCTACATATACATAAACGAGTGGTAAACAAATGTATTAAAATAGAAATACTAAACTACAGTGGTGAAACAGAACCAGCGTGACTGGCACGGAAATTCTTTGTACAAATGTTAGAAAGCGTCCACGGCCCTTCTCGACGTGTTCGTACGTTCCCGTTTGTGTGTGTGTGTGTTTTAAAATTTTGTAATAATATAGAATAAAATATGCTTTATATCACTGAATAGAAAATATGCCGGGTGAACTTATAAAAACCCCACCCCACGGAATACTGCTCGGAGGGCTGTGGCCCCGTCCACGGACACCCTGCCACAGCCGAGTGGAATATTAAAATAATACAGTGTTCTCTGCCAGAGGCCATACTAAAAATAAAAAAGATTTGACCCAGCTACAAAAAGTTCACTGAACTTAAATTAAAATACTTGTAAACATCTTTGCAATATGAAATATAACTCTTCAAGTCAGAAAGAATAAAATACTCGATCTGTATTAATGCGACTTCTTAAAACTTTTAAAGGTTTTCTTTTTTAATATATAAGAGATATGTTACAGTTCAACTCTCGTAAAGCTGCAGTACCCCGGTGTCATGGGGTATCCCCGGTGTCGGGGCCCCCCCGATACAGCCGGGCACCGAGCACAGCACCGAGCACCGAGCACCGAGGCCACCCGCTGCACCGCCCGCCACGCTCCTACTTTAAGCACATGGAAACCTGCGGGCTTTCTTCTTCTGGAAGCTTCCTAGTTTGTACAGTGTAACAACTATCTCCACTACAGCATCATTTCCAGTGGTGGAGGCTTCCAGGCTGCGGGGCCCTGGACATGGGTGGCCCGGTCAGGTCCTTTGTTCTGAAGATGAGCAGATACTACAGCTTTCCAGGCTCCACTAGGATCTCAGAGTGTTGGGAAAGGAGGCCAGAGGGAGGAGGGAAGATGGAGGGAGAAGGCCGGGAGAAAGGAGAGGAAGAGGATGGAGGGGAGGCCAGAGAGGACGAGGATGGCATCTGAAGAGGAGGAAGAGGGGGAGGGTGGCGGGCAGGGTGGACTCGAAGGGGAGAAGGCCCAAGGGGAGGAAGAAGAGGAAGAGGATGGAGGGGAGGAGGCTGGAGGCCACAGAGGAGGAAGAAGAGGTCTGAGGAGGAGGAGGGGAGGGGGAGGAAGAAGATGGAGTCTGAGGAAGAGGAGAAAGAAGAAAAAGAGGAGGAGGAAGTTGGTGGGCAGGGGGTGGCTCTGGGAGGAGGCGTGGAGGCCTGTGTGCTGAGGCCCTAGGAGAGGATATGGGCGGCCGGCGGCACACCTGGGCCGTGGCCCTAAAAGATTCGGACGGCCCAGGCCTCGGAGAAGATGCGGATGGCCCGCGTAACAGCCGCGTGGCACACCGGGCAGCCCACGCCCAGGCCTCGGAGAAGATGCGGATGGCCCACGTGCCACACCGAGCAGCCCAGGCCTAGGAGAAGATTCATGACGGCCGCGTGGCACACCGGGCAGCCCACGCCCAGGCCTAGGAGAAGATGCCGATGGCCCACGTGCCACACCGAGCAGCCCAGGCCTAGGAGAAGATTCGTGACGGCCGCGTGGCACACCAGGCAGCCCAGGCCTAGGAGAAGATGCCGATGGCCTGCGTGCCAGCCGCATGGCACACCGGGCAGCCCACGCCCAGGCCTAGGAGAAGATGCGAATGGCCCACGTGCCACACCGGGCAGCCCAGGCCGAGGCCTAGGAGAAGATGCGGATGGCCCGCGTGGCACACCGAGCAGCCCAGGCCTAGGAGAAGATTCGTGACGGCCGCGTGGCACACCGGGCAGCCCAGGCCTAGGAGAAGATGCGGATGGCCTGCGTGACGGCCGCGTGGCACACCGGGCAGCGCGGCTCCCTGCGCTGGCAGATGCGGTGTGCGCACTCCAGGCAGAAGAGGTTGTGGCCGCAGGGCACCAGCGCGGCGATGACCTCGCTCTCCAGGCACACGGCGCAGTCGCGGCTGCCCTTGCGCCGCGGGCCGGAGGAGGAGCAGGAGGAGGAGGACGAGGAGGACGAGGAGCTGGAGGCCGACGAGGACCGGGCCGCGTCCCCGGCCGCATCGGCGGGCGGCGGCGCCCCGAGCCCCGCGGCGTAAGCGAAGGCCAGGCCGCCGCCGCCGGGGTCGCTGCGCACGCGGCGGGCCAGCCGGTGCTCGCCGGCGCCCGGGGCGGCGTGCAGGGGCGGGGACAGGCGCGGGCAGCTGCCCGGGAGCAGGCGGCGCGGGCCGGGGCCGGGGCCGGCCCCGGAGGGCGCGTTGGCGGCGGCGGGGAAGGCCGTGGCGGCCGAGGCCGTGGTGGAGGCCGCGGCGGCGGAGGCCGGGCCCGGGGAGCGCTCGAAGGGTGCCCAGAGCAGGGGCGCGCCGGGCGGCGGGGCGGGCGCGGGGTCGAAGGCCGGCGGCGGCTCCGAGCCGTCGGGGGACGGCGCGGCGGCCTCCCCGGCGGCCAGGGCGAAGGCCGCGGCGCCGTTGCTGCCGGTGCCGTTGTGCGCGAAGCCGAGCGCGGGGCTCGGGGGGCTGAAGTCGGCCAGGCGCGGGGTGGCGGCCGCGCCGCCCGCGCCCCCGAAGTAGGAGTCGGTGGAGGCGCTGCCCAGCGAGCTGGAGCTGTCGTTGCGGAAGCTGGCGAAGGGCTTGCGGCCCGGCGACGCCTTGCTCCAGAGCGCGCCCGCGCCCGCGCCGTGCGCCTCGAAGCCCACGTCCGTGCCGTTGGCGTGGAAGTCGTTGCCGTCCGGCAGCTCCACCAGGCCGCCGGTGCGCAGCGCGATGTGCGCCTCGATCTCCTCGCGCGCGCGGTCCACGTTCTCGGGCATGCCCGTGACCTCGAACACCGGCTCCTTGTCGCGGCTGGGCGTCACGATGTAGGTGTGCGTCTGCTGCTGGATGCGCTTGATGGTGGCGCCCTTGGGCCCCACCACCAGCCCCACCACGCGGTAGGGCACGCGCACCTGGATGGTGGTCTGCCCCGGCAGCGCGGGCGGGCCGGGCGCCGCGCCGCCGCTCAGCGCCGCGCTCTTGTGCCGCGAGGCGCGGATCATGGAGAAGTGCTCGGCCGCCGAGATGATCTCCCTGCGCGCCATGGCCACGTCCTCCTTGCGGCCGGTCACCACGAACACCGGCTCCTCGCCGCGCACCGGCGTCTTGATGTAGGTGTTGGTCTTGGCGCGCAGGGCCTTGATCTTACAGCCTGGGGCGGGGGGGGGGGGGGCAGCGGAGGGGAGAGACGCGCGCGTGAGCGGCGGCCCCGTGGCCCCGGAGCCCGGGCCGCGCGCGCGGAGACCCCTCCACCCCCGGGCCTGAGAGGAGGCCGAGCCTCGGCCAAGGCGTCAGCGCGGAGCGGGGCCGCGCCCCGCCGGGAGGGGGCGTCGCCCGCGCCCACCGCAGGGCGCCGAGCCCGCGGCGCGTCCCGCCCGCCCCGCCCCGCGCGCCCGCAACCCCCGCGGGGAGCCGCGCCGCCCCGGGCCTGGAGGACCCTGGAGGGCCCGGGGGCTTCCGAGAAGTTGGGCGGCGCGGGGGCCCCGCGCGGGCCGGGGCGTCGGGCCGGGACCCTTTGTTCCCGCGGCCGCCTCCCGCCCCGCTCCCCGCCGTCCCCGCCCCGGGCCCGGCGCGCCCCGGCACCCCGGGCCCGGGCGCTCCCACCGGGAGGAGGCGGCGCGGCTCCCCGAGGCCGCCCGCCCGCACTTTCTTTGTCTGGGCGCCGGCCCCGGCCGCCCGCGCCGCCGACCCACCTTGCCGCCCCACGATCTCGGCGACGTGCTCGGAGCTGGGCACCGGCACGCACTCGGTCATGTTCACGCTGCGCCGGCGGGGCTCGCCGTAGGGCGCGGCGCCCTCGTCGTCCAGCCCCAGCAGGGACAGCTGGTCCAGCGCCAGCCGCAGGGCGCCGCGCTCCTCCGGGCTCTCCCCGCCCCCGCCGCGCGCCAGGTCCGCGAACAGCGAGCTGGGCATCGCCGCGCCGCGCGCCGCCGGCCCCGGCCCCGCGGCCACCACGGCGGCGGGCGGCGGGCGGGCGGGGGCGGGGAGGCTCCGCGGCTCCGCGCCCGGGCCGTGCAGTCCGCGCCGCGCGGCGGCTGCGGGAGCCCCGCCGCGGTCCCCGCCCCGGGCCTGCGGGCGGTCGGGGTGGGGGCAGCGCCCGAGCGGCCGCGCGTGGCCCCGAGCGCCCGGCTGGCTGGCCACAAAGCCGCGCGAGCGGGCGCGAGCCGAGCCGCGGCGTTTCTTTAAGGAGCCCCTCCCCGCCTCCCCCCTCCCGCCGCTGCGCCCTCCCCGCCTCCCCCCTCCCGCCGCTGCGCCCTCCCCGCCTCCCCCCCTCCCCCCTCCCCGCCTCCCCCCTCCCGCCGCTGCGCCCTCCCCGCCTCCCCCCTCCCGCCGCTGCGCCCTCCCCCCTCCCCCCTCCCGCCGCTGCGCCCTCCCCGCCTCCCCCCTCCCCGCCTCCCCCCTCCCGCCGCTGCGCCCTCCCCGCCTCCCCCCTCCCGCCTCCCCCCTCCCGCCGCTGCGCCCTCCCCGCCTCCCCCCTCCCGCCTCCCCCCTCCCGCCGCTGCGCCCTCCCCGCCTCCCCCCCTCCCGCCTCCCCCCTCCCGCCGCTGCGCCCCTCCCCGCCTCCCCCCTCCCGCCTCCCCCCCTCCCGCCGCTGCGCCCTCCCCGCCTCCCCCCTCCCTCCTCCCCCCTCCCCCCCACCCCCCGAGCTCGCGGCCGAAGGCTGGGCGGGGGACGAGGCGGGACGTCACCGACACCGGCGCTGGGGGCGGCGATTGGCGCGCGCGGGGCCGGGGGCGGGCGGAGGCGCGGGCTGAGCCCCGAGCGCGGGCCCGGCGCCGCCCCGACCCCGCCCCGGCTCCGCGGGCCCCGCCCGCCCCACGCCGCGCCCCCCGCAGCCTCCGCGGGCCGCGCCCGCCCCACGCCGCCCGCCTCCCTTTGTTGTCTGGCGCGGGGCTCGCGTGCGGCTGCCCGGCCCCGCTGGCCCCGAGCGCAGCCGCGGTCACCCGCCCCACGGCGGCCGGAGGACGACTGGAGCCCGGGCCCTGGGGCCCGGCCCGGCCCGGCGCCGCCCGCGCGGGAGCGCCCGAGACAAAGGCGCGCGCCCGGCCCGCGCCCATCTCCGAGCCCCGGCCCCGAGCCCGGGGGCGCCGGGGCGTGAGCGGCCTCCGGGCCCCGCACCGCCCGGCCCCGACCCCGCGCCGGCGCCGCGCCCGCGCCCGCTCCGCGCCCGCCTGCGGCTCCGGGCCGGGCATGCGCCGTGCGGGGAGCGGCGCTCCCGGTGCCGGGGCGGAGGGAGGGCGGCGGGACCCGGCCGGCGCGCGGCGCCCCCTCCCGACCGTCCCGGCGCCCGGGGGGCGAGGCCGCCCGGCCTCCCGGTTCTCCGCTGCAAACGGGGACCCGGGGCCTCCCGGCCGGCGTCCGCGCGCGCGGGGAGGGGACGCGGCCGCGCCGGGCGCCGTCTCGCGGAGACGCGGGGTTCCCGCCCGCAGCTCCCCGCCGGGCAGGGCGAGGCCCCGGTCCGGGATTCCCGCCTGGCCGCGGGCTCCAGGGAGAGCTGCCCGCTGCCCGGGCGGCGTCGGGGCGGCCCGCTCGCTCCCGCCCGGCCTCGCCGCACCCGCCCGCGCCGCTTCCCTGCCGGGCCGCGACCTCCGCCCTGCGCGTGACCCCCGGCCGCCCGCGGCCAGCTTCGGAGATGGCCGCGTCCTGAGCGCGGAGTTGCGCGTGGGACCAGGCGGGCGTGACAGCGCCGGGGTCGGGCGCTGACCTTGGCCTCCCCTCATGTGGACGCCCAGGCAGCTCAAGGCCAAGGTGCGGCCGGAGGCCCAGCCTCCACCTGCGCCAGAGCGCCGGCCGCCAGTGCGCTCGTGGAGAGCGCCGGCTGGCCATCACGGGCTCATGGATAGGCCGGCTGGTCAGTGCGCTCATGGATAGGCCGGCCGGTCAGCACGGGCTCATGGAGGCGCCGGCCGGTCAGCACGGGCTTATGGAGGCGCTGGCCGGTCAGTGCGCTCATGGAGGCACCGGCCAGTCAGCACGGGCTCATGGAGGCGCCGGCCGGTCAGTGCGCTCATGGAGGATGCCGGCCGGTCAGTGCACTCATGGAGGCACTGGCCGGTCAGCATGGGCTCATGGAGGATGCCAGCCGGTCAGCACGGGCCCATGGAGGCACCGGCCGGTCAGCACGGGCTCATGGAGGCACCGGCCGGTCAGTGCACTCATGGAGGCACTGGCCGGTCAACATGGGCTCATGGAGGATGCCAGCCGGTCAGCACGGGCTCATGAAGGCGCTGGCCGGTCAGTGCGCTCATGGAGGATGCCGGCTGGTCAGTGCGCTCATGGAGGCACTGGCCGGTCAGCATGGGCTCATGGAGGATGCCGGCCGGTCAGCACGGGCTCATGGAGGATGCCAGCCAGTCAGTGCGCTCATGGAGGCGCTGGCCGGTCAGTGCACTCATGGAGGCGCCGGCCGGTCAGCACGGGCTCATGGAGGCGCTGGCCGGTCAGCACGGGCTCATGGATAGGCAGGCCGGTCAGCACGAGCCCAGTCCTGCCTGTGAACAGGCAATGCCCCTCGCCATGTGGCGTCCGGGCCCCTGTAGACCCCAGAGCTCAATTCCCTGATACCAGGCACGTGCTCTACGGACCCGTCCATGTGGCATGCCGCCTTTTTATTAGCATAAGAGGAAAGTGGGGAGCGAGCTGGTGATAGGGCTTCCAGGTGCCATGAAGAATTTTTAAAAAACAGTTATCAACCAGAGACAAATAATATTAACCAAAAACCACTTTCCAGATGCTTTGAGTTCTTTTGTATGCAGTTTGCAAATAGCCGGCAAAAGACATTGGAGCCGTCCTGGGAGACCAAGCTCACTTGGCATTACTGAGCAAGGGTAGTGTCTGCAGAAATGAGCAGGTGCCCTGTCCATCTGTCCTTCCTCCCTCCTTCCCCTCCTCTCCTCCTTCATCCCTCCCTTCCTCACACCGATGTTCAGAGAGTCCTGTGTGCCAGGCACCGCCTAGACTGGGGAGTTGGGAGTTATCAAGGCAGAGCTCTGGGGGAGTTGAGGATCTAGCCAGCAGACTAGCACTGAGCACCCACAGAGGAACACGTAATTACCAGGAGGGACAAACCCACCACAGATGAGCATGCGTCGATCTGCGGCTGCCTTGGATTCGGAGCTTCCTGCTGAGGAGAGGAGGGTCAATCTGGTTTCTTCTTGAAGCCAGGCTTTACTATTTCCACTAACTCCCAACGGATGCATTTCACGCAGCCACGAGACGCTCATTTCATTAAATGACTTCGTGGCTGCAGTGACACTTTGCTACAAGTGTCAGCAGCGCAAGTCCTTGCAGGGTGGCAACTGCATTGTCCAGGAGCCCCGGTGCCCTGCCTCCCCCCAAGGGTGCCCGGATGCACCTCTCCTTGGCCCATGGGGGTTCTTTGGGGAGATCTCCGCTCCAGCTTTCCCCACGCAGCTTCAGAGGCACAGAACCACAGCGCTCCCTGGAGTTGGCACAAGAAGGGGCAGGTGCTAGGTGTGACCCAGGACACCTGGGGACCACGTGGTGACAGGGCAGCTTCACAGCTGGCATTGCTGGGCACGCGCGCGCGGGGTCTGGGCCGGGCCTGCGTGGGGCGTGGGGCCCGGCAGCAGCTGGCATTGCTGGGCACACGCGGGGTCTGGGCCGGGCCTGCGTGGGGCGTGGGGCCCGGCAGCAGCTGTGTGCCGCAGACGGTGCTGGTGGCTGGCTGTCAGTCGGGGTGTGCCTTGTACAGATGCTGCCGTTCCTGTGCAGTTGGGGGGTGCGTCCAGCTGTACCCTGCCCCCCGGCCTGCAGCTGCAGCCCTGCCAGCCAGCATGTGGCCAGGCAGACACCACTGTCCCCCCGCCACTGGCACAGTGTGCAAGACCCGCAGACAGAGGACCAGCCAGCCACTGGTGTCCGGGGCCCGCCCCAGGGATGCACAGTGAGCCACGAGAAGACCACGTGGCTGCCCCTCGGGGACCGGGACTGCCCAGGGCTGACGTACAAACTAACAAAAACAACCTTTTCATTTGGACTTGTGAGAAGTTAGAGATGAGTTGTGGAAATCAGAAAAACACCCCTCTGTTCATGTTGCTAGCATCTGTCCCTTTCCCTTTATGGCTGGCTCTCTGCCCCTCCCTCCTGTCCTTCCTTCCTGTCTCTAAACATAGATGCGTATTTACATGCACGAGCCAACACACCGTATACACAAGCTCTTACTATCTTCATTTTGCACATCATCTGCTCTCCTTTCAGATTGTTTCTACCTTACTGTTTTGGAGGCACTGGTTTGTTTGCAGGGACCCCTGCTCTAGGCAGGGGCCACGGCCAGAGCCCCTCATCAGAGCTGAGCGCCTCCACCCCGCTCCGAAGCCCCGGGGAACCTCGGTGCTCACTTCTTCTCTGTGACAGATTGCAATCAGAGCTCCACTTGGCCCTCCCAGCAGTGAATCGAACGGCAGGACGCAGACACCACTGGGCCCGGCCGCGGCCTGCTCCACCTGGTCTGTCTTGACAAGAGTCAGTGGCGTTTTTTTCCCTTTTTCTTTTTTTCTTGTGAAAACACCATACAGAGGGGTTACAATTACATGGGCAAGATAGTGAGTACGTTTCTTATCAAGCATGTAGACTCCTCCATTGTTTCCCCTTCCCATCCCTTCCCATCTCCCCCCCACCCTCCTCTCTTCCCTCCCCCACTACCTCCCCCTCCACCAAAGTTGTAAAGTTCGTTTTCGACATAATGACTTGTACATCTCATTGTTGCAATGGGTCCACCTGTATCCCTATTTAAACGGTTTGTTTTTTCCCTTCCCCTCCACAAATTATACCGACATCAAATACAGTGAAAGCAGGAGTTATACTGTGGGGGAGGGACATACAAAGCAACAAAAAAATCATCTTATATGTTAGAAACAATCACATGAAAGAAAAAAACATTTGAATACATATCTTAGGGTTCATTTCACCTAACATCAACTTATCTGACCTTTTCTGCTTGACTCAGACATATACTAGATATTGCAAATAAGGAAAACCATGGTACCTATGTTTCTTTGGGCTTGGCTTACTTCACTTAATATAACTTTTTCCAAGTCTTTCCATTTCCTAACAAATGGGACAATGTCATTCTTTCTGATGGAGGCATAGAATTCCATTGTGTATATATACCACATTTTCTTGATCCACTCATCTACTGAGGGGCGTCTGGGTTGGTTCCATATCTTAGCTATGGTAAATAATGCTGCAATAAACATAGTTGTGCTGGTAGCTTTAGTGTGGTCTTGTTTGTGATCATTTGGGTAAATGCCCAAAAGTGGGATTGCTGGGTCATAGGGGAGCTCTATGTGGAATCTTTTGAGGAACCTCCATACTGCTTTCCAAAGTGGTTGAACAAGTTTACACTCCCACCAACAATGAAGTAAGGTTCCCTTCTGTCCACATCCCCTCCAGCATCTGTTGTTGTTAGAGTTCTTGATTTTAGCCATTCTAACTGGAGTGAGGTGGTATCTCAATGTTGTTTTGATTTGCATTTCTTTTATGGCTAGGGAGGTTGAGCATTTCTTCATGTGTCTATTGGCCATCCTTCTTTCCTCTTCAGAGAAGTTTCTCTGTAAGTCTTTAGCCCACTTATTTATTGGGCAGTTGTTTCTTTGAAGATTTCTTGGTGGGGGATTTCATTTTCTGAGTTCCAGGTATATTTTAGATATGAGACCCTTGTCCGTTGTATGGCTAGTAAAGATCTCCCAATCCGTGGGCTTTCTATTGACCTTGCTAGCTATGTCCTTTGCCGTGCAGAAGCTCTGCAGCTTCATGTAATCCCATTTGTCCCAACTTTCTTTGATTTGTTGTGTTTCTGGGTCTCTTCTAAGAAAATTTCGGCCTGCGCCAAGGAGACCTAGGGTTCCTACTATTCCATCCTGTAATGTTTTCAGAGTGTCTGCTTTGACTCCGAGGTCTTTGATCCATTTGGAGTTGATTCTGGTGCAGGGTGATATAGAAGGATCTAGCTTAAGTTTTCTACAAGTGATTAACCAATTTTGCCAGCACCATTTACTGAAGAGGCTGTCTTTCTTCCATTCTATTTTTTTAGCTCCCTTATCGAAGATTAGTTGGCTATAGGTCTTTAGGTTCATTTCTGGGTTTTCAGTTCTATTCCATTGGTCCTGAGGTCTGTTTTTGTGCCAGTAACAAGCTGTTTTGATTACTATGGCTTTGTACTAGAGTTTGAAATTTGGTATTGATATTCCTCCAGCACTGTTCTTTCTGTTGAGGATCGTTTTTGCTATTCGGGTTCTTTTATTGTTCCATATGATTTTTTGGATTGCCTCTTCTATTTCCTTGAAGAATGAGGTTGGAATATCGATGGGTATCGCATTGAATTTGTAGATAGCCTTGGGAAGTATGGCCATTTTCACGATGTTGAATCCAGGAGCATGGGAGGTTTTGAGTGTCGTTTTTTTTTCTGACTTTTAAAATATTACTGTATACAAATGCTAATTAAAGGGTCCAGGTTCCTGTGGGAAAGGGATGCTGAGAGAGAGGGTAGATGCAGCCGGAGAGGGTAGAGCTGGATGCAGCCGCATGCAGGAGCTTCTCAGAGAATGAGTCTTGTGACTGGGGGGGGGGGAGGAGGTGGTGAGGGGGGAAGGGGAGGAGCATGCGTTCACCCAGCACAGCCCCACCCACCTTCCCAGAAGCAGAGCTGAGCTCAGGGGAGATGGAGGAAAGGAGCAGCAGTAGCCTCTGTTTCCCTGCT